CCGTGAGACGGTTGGTATTGCAGATGGGCGTAATCGGACCACTGCCACGCCCACAAAACGCCATTAATCAAAAACAAACAACTTGCCATAACTAAGCTCCGCAATAAGATACAAGACTGTTATTGGTACACAGGATCACATTAGGGAGGGGCATTTGCAGTTAAATTTTTTAAGTGGGCGTGGTCCCGCCTCTAATAGGTTTAATGTGCATATCTCCTAAACCGCTAATGCTATAATAACAAAATTCACTGGAAGCAAATGTTTTTAGCACTTCTATTGACGGTGTAAAAATAGTTGAAATCGGGTGGCAACTCCGCCCACTCCCCATATAACGGTACTGTTAAAAACTACTAAAAGCGCGATAAATCAAGCACTAAACACGCCAGAGACATTAAATTTTATCTCTGAGATGGTATAAGATGACTTTATAGGAACCGCGTTCAAAATTAGACAGTGGGCGTGGCACAGCCCACTTTTAGGTAAAACCCATATCTTGAGATCTGCTTAACCGATTTCAACCAAATTCGGTGCGTAACGTTCTTTTCATGTTTCTATGTCATAGTGCGAAATGGGCGAAATCGGATTACAACCACGCCTATTTTCCATATGACACCATTTTAAATACCACTGATTCTTTCACTTTCCACTAGCAAATCAAGCAACAATGATTATATCGGCGTAAAACTTTGCGTGAATAATACGTTTAAAGTATGCCACCTTGTGACCAAAAATTCGCTAAATCGAACCAAAACTGTTCAAGCCCTAGGTACTGAATATGTGGACCCCAGTACCTATAGTTGACCTTCTACCGAAAGTATCAGTCAATCCACAAAAAATCTCACACGAGTGTACCATTTGACTTTGCGAGAGTATAAAATGTTCGGTTACATCCGAACTTAGCCCTCCTTACTGTTTTCTAGTTATATTTGTTATAAAAGAAGATTGATTTAGGACTGTATATATTATATATGTGAATATAGGCTCACTGGGGAACCAAACACCCAAAAAGAACGTGCCTACATTGCATCTCAGAGTGGTGAGGAAAGGCAATAAATATGATATAAACTTTTGTTTCGAAAACAGTTTTGAAAGTTTTCATTAATGTTTTCCATTACAAATATCTGTTCACAAAAAGGTTATTAAACTACATTCCTTTTAATTGTATCTCTGTGTCAAAAATACAAATTTCGATCAAGTTTCTCAGCTGTTAAAACACATTAGAAAACAATTGATTCTTTGTTACTTGCAGTTGCATGAAACTGCTAAAAACCGCGCATTTGAAATTTACGCGGGATTACTAAAATGATCGATTTCTATTAAGGGCATCTCAAAACAATTAAGGATTACTAATAATCTGAACTGCTAGCAATATTGCCATGAAGACTGCACATCGCTAATTTTAGCAATTGATGTCTAAAACATTTCCTGCTTTACATTGCTAGCGAATGAGCTGTCATTTTGGTGTTGACAGAGCTTTTTCATTTGCACACAAATTTTAAATAGACAACATGTACATGAATAGCTCGGTTGCATGATGTCAGCAAAATAAAATACCAATGTTTTAAATTTCGTTGCTAAAACATAATTATTTGAAAATGGCCAATAATCTGAAGATTCCACAACTGAAAAGGAGCTGGAGCAACGTGGTTTGGCGACAAATGGATTAAGATTGAATTACAATCACGGTTGCGGAGGCCATGGAGCGGGAAAACATTAATGTTGAGGAATATGTCTTTCAATTTAATTAGAGGAAGACATCACGAAGATAAAAGAAAGGAAGTGGCTCAATGCTCGTCAAAGATGGTGGACATACACATGATTTTTGCTATAATATCGTAGGTGGAAAGAGCGTATATCACAGATGTTATCAAAGCAGTTGAAGAGCAGTTCGCAGTGAAAGAAGCTTCTATACCAGCATAAGTGTCCCGACAGTCGAAGAGGAGGAAGCGTAAGTACCAGTACAAGGGTCCTCACAGTCGAAAGAGCTAGACGTGCGTATGTCAACGCAGGTGTCCTCACAGCCACGGATGACTCTTGGAAAAATCCAAAATTGCAAGGTGTAATGCATGAAGTAGAGTGGAACAAATGCACGACGAGTGGAGAAGTTACTACAGGAAGGCCAGTCGCAAAAGCATATTGGCCATAGCGGGCAGTTTAAAGTTGGTGTGTGGCTGCTTGCATCGAGTGTGAAAGGACGAAAGTGCCCAAATCTTCCGAGTACTTATGGTTGTTCCGAAGTTTAGAATTCCTGAAGTTCATAACGTGCAGTACAAAGGTCCTTGAGAATCACGAAACCTTCGAAAAATTAAGTAAAGGTTTTATTGTCTGCTGCTACCATCGTTTTACGTGCACTATTTTATACGTTTGAATTCTGTCCGCTATAAAAACCATTTATGATGGAGGTTCTTCGGTATTATAATATAATATATTATATAATAATAATAATAATATACAAATATATAATATAATAAGAATAATAATATACAAATAAATAATATAATAATATAATAATAACAAATATATAAATAAATATATATAGAGAAAGTTGTAACTAAGTATTCCAAATCGAATCGGATCGAATACTGACATACGATGCTTAGAAATCACGTTTTCTTGGCGGGCGAAACTGCTTTCCTAATATGGTGAAAGTTGAATTGAAATTCGAATGAGTCTGACAATGTTTCCATCTCGGGTTTTGGCTTTTAAATTCACGGATCGGTTTTTGATTATGACATGTTTCTAACTCTTCACAGTTTATATAAAAAGGCCTTTCGCTGGTAAAGCTAGCAACAAAGTTGTCCATGTAATGACTCTCCAATATGGCTGCGTGTGCGTAGGGTACTGTTAACTGAAGTCCTCGGCGTTTTGTTTCTTACGAACTCTGCTATGCAAGGCGAACATATGGCTCCGAAAATCTTAGACGTCATTACGTAGTGTTTAACTAATTAATTGAGTTCACATCGTTGCCTAACTATTATTTGTGAAAACATTTCGTGAATGTTAGCAGCTACCGCCACTGCACCTTCTCGAAATCAAATAAAATATTCAGCAATGATTTGGCATGTTTTCGCCTGGAATTTAACGAAACTCCCTTGACCTGTGCGATTCGCATCTTATCCGGCTTGTGTTGGTTTTGTACTGCAAGTGTGGTAAATACCAATTATATGAGCTCCTTTACCTTTTGGCGATTTCCTCTGTGTATTTGACGTTAAACTAGATTTCATTTCTTTTAATTTTGTTCTATTAGACGTTTATAAGCCATATCGTAACTGTCTAAAATAGAAAGCGGCATGCTTGTCCAAGAAGTCCAGTTTAACGTTTACCTATGCGACGTGTATTTTCTATTAGCGTCTGGCGTGCTCTCTATTTTCGTCTGACTCGATCTGCTTTAGCGGTTCACTCATTCCAAAATGCTCATTCCAAATGCTACTGTCTCCTGGCTCGACCGACTAAGCATTTATGTAACCTCGTTAGATTCTGGCGGGGACTGTAGCGAATGCTTCTGTTGTGTCCTTAAAGTTGGCAAAAACAATGGTCACTCCTCCGCGCTGCCTAAAAGAGGGAGAGTGTTATTTTATTTTGAAGCGCGGCCGTATGTGGCCAAGCAAAGAGGAGATCTACGCCAACGAACTGAAAACACCCTGTGTTGGACCGACCAGGGTTATTTGTTGAAGCGCGTGCGAAGGCCGCCAATGCAAAAGGAATTGAGGTATTATCTGTTTTCTTTATTCCTGTTGGTTCCTTGTAAAAATGTAGATAAGTTAACACTGATTATTTGTTAAGTTGTCTGCCAAACGGTAGAAAATTAAATTCTGTCAGATAAAATTGAAATTTTGACTTTTCGTGGGAATCCGAATGTCAGAGTATTACCAGCTCAAGAGCTAGGTAAATTTTGACAACTTATAAATAGGAATAAGGATACGCATTTGGGAATAAACGAATTAAAAGAATCGCTGCATGCATAACAATTATGTTATAAAATATGTTATTAATTCCATTCAAAACAGAATATATACTCTAAATAAGGAAAGTTTTGACTCCTTTTGAATTTTGATTATTTAGCCAAAATATTGCAAACTAAAATTAAGATAAAAGAATTAAGTAAAAATAATATTTTGTAGTTGATTAAAAGATCTTAATGTAAATGTATTTATGTACTATATATCAAATATTATATAATTATATATGCACATACATATGTGTACCGAACGCAAGTAGCGTCGTAGTTGCTAAGCTACCAATTCTCAATTAGTTACAAATCTTCAAATTAAATTATTTTTGGAGTTTCATTAGTATTTTATTAGCAAGCAAATTATTTGCTTTTCATTTAATTTATTTTACGAATATATTTAATAATTTAAATAAGAGGACAAACTTTCAAACAACGCAATTGCGTTTGCTTTGAACTTCAACTGTCAAAATTTTAATTTTCATTTATCACAGTAAAATGTAAAATTTGTTTGCACCATTGGACATTTTTTCACCCCACTCGAACACAGAAAAACATGTTATTGTTTGGACAGCCTTAGAATGCAATCCTATTGATTGTGTGAATAAAAAGAATTGAACAAAAGTTAAATATTGAATTAAAGTTATTTTGCACTATTTAATATAAAGTAAATATGTGAAAACGAATGAGTGAACTGTTTGTGGATATAAAGTTAAAAAGAACGTACACATTCTGGA